TGTCCCTGCTGGTCCCAGATGTTGGATGTGGAAAGGAGAGTGTCCAGTGGCGAAGGTCTCTTGCTCCCCAGTGCTCTGGTCTCTGACAGCTCGTGTGTGGCACCTGCTTGGCTGGAATGTGCTCACCAGCATGGGTGTTTGCCATGGGGCCCCTGTAAATGGACAGCACCCCCTCACCCTTTCCCTCAGGACAAATTCAGTGTGAGAGTCGCTACCTGGCTCGCTTCGGTCTCCACTGACTCAGCTCGGATCTGTCTTCCTGGTTCCTTGTGGTCAGAGGTTGTCCCGCTCTTTGGAAAAGCACAACAAATGCCTTGTGCCACTCCCCCTTCCTCCAGTGTCCAGCTGTTCTGCTGCTCTGAACTGGACTTGTAAATACCCTCAAAGTTAATGTATTTAAATGCTAAAGGAGAATGTTTAACTTTGTGGCTTTGAGACAAAGCTTTTCTTGGAGAAGTATCTCTGTGCACTTCTACTGACAAACGTCTGTCAGCACTGGAGCAGTTTTCTCCGCTGCTTTGTCTGCAGGGATAACTTGTAGGTGTCTCTGTTGTTGTACCAGCAGCTCGCCTTTCCCCACGGCTCAGTCCCAGGCTCTCTTTGTGCTCTTCTCTTAGGCTTGCCTTACACCTAACTCTCAGCTCCACTGCTCAGGCTTTCCTGTTGTGGCACATAGAAGGGTTACTTGGTGAGCTGTGAACTCAAAGGAGCTGTCAAGCACAACCATGATGTTCCCAAGGAGAGTCTGGTGTCCTGCAAAAAGGAATGATTTGTGCGTGGAGGAGAGGCCGTGCAGCAGGCACAAGCACAGTTAGTTGGCAGCTGTCACTGGGCAGCTCCTCACTGCTCCTTCCTAAGTTCCTCTACCTTGTGAACAGTCCTCTGCCCTTCTAGGAGCTGATTTATAAGGGTGCTTTACTTGTTCTCTCTCCCGCTCGCCCCACCCCTGCCCCCCCAGCTGCTAATTCCACACTGATGTCCTGTGTGCCTGGGGCAGGTAGACAGGTCTGACTCCTCTGCCACTACTCTGAGGTGGTGATTGTGTGAGCCAGGAGGGAGCAGAGCTAGAACAGAGCAGGATGACATCCCTACCTCTCTTTACATTGCAAATAGCAGTAATTCCAGGCCTGCTCCATCAGCCCTGTGGCTTTGTGCAAGTGCTGTGCAGTTCCAGAATTGTCCTTGGAGCAGGCTAATGCTGGCCTCTCTTCTCTTCTGTGACACTCTCTCAGCAGTATAGCAGTAATCCCAGGTACGTGGTGTGCCCAGAGTATGAGCATCCCTGTGCAACCTTCTGCTCCTATCCTGCTGTACAGAGAGAGCAGCAGGGTGGCTGGCTGGCTGCTGCCAGGCAGAAATGGGGCTGCAGAGTTTGCCTCTTTCCCCAGGTGAGGACCAGTTAGGGTCTCACTCCTGCCCGACCACCCATTTCCACAAAACTTAAGGGAACTCAGCATCTCTGAAACATTTGTCTTGACTAAATCTGATTAAATTGGTCACACCAAAAAGTTGAGGAAAGGACTGCTGGATGGGAAAAAAACAATGCAATGCACGTTAGTAAAGCCCATTTCTTGAGGGACTGCAGGAGGAGATTCCTTGGTTTGAGACTGGTGCAGGTGTAGTGGTGGAGTAGCATTGTCCCCTTGTGTGTTGGTGGATGGACTTTCTACCCTAGGAAACAAGGCCTGGTTTGTGGCCTCTCCAGCTTGCTCAGTGTCTGCTAGAAGCCACAGAAACTCCCCTGGATTTCTGGCTCTACAGACTGTCAGTGTCTGCCCCTATTTTTGCAGAATTATCTCTGCACTTTCCCAGAACAGAGTGGCTTGAGGCTTAATTCTCATTCCACCTCCCACTGGTATCCACATTCTCCCTGCTTCTCAGTGCTGTTCCTGGATGTTGGAAATCGTCTGCTTTTTCCGAGTGTATCTGTGAAAGTCTGCTGTTATTAGATTGATAATCAAGACTTAAAAATAGAGCTAAACATAGGTGATTGACCTATTTAACATCTTCAGCTTGTCCTTGCGTGGCTGGACAGGACACACTGCCCGGTGCAGGTGCAGTGAGGGTGGACAGCTGGTAGTGCCCATCTCCCATCCATCTGTCCTCGGTGTTCTAGATACCAGCATCCTCCTCCCTGTGGACACACACTGAGGGCCCTCCTGGGATCATCTTGGCTGTTTAGGCGTGGCCCCTCTTATCTCCGTCCGTGCCCCTGTCCCGTGGCAAAATCCGTTTCTGTGGCAGGCTTCTGTTGCATTTAATTTTGCACAAAACAGGTTTTATTATGGAATTCCCTATTGCGGGGAAAACTTATTTATTTATTCCTCTTGATCCTTCCAAGTTTTTCCCAGTCTCTGCCTGATTCCACAACCAACCGGACATTCCTTGTCAAGGACAGAGAATCCTGTCTGGAAGTTCCTGTTTGCTCACAGGTAGCAAGTTCAGTGGGCACCAGCAGAGAGAGCCCTGCTACCGCAGCCTGCTGTGGGACACGGGGATGTCACTGCTCCAGCAGGACTCCCAGGACAGCGATGTTCCCCGGTGGCAGGCACCCAGCTTTATTTAGTGCTGTGGTCAGAGGGAGGGACTTGCTTTTGCCGTGGTCTGGGTGAAAGGCTGAGAACTCATCAGTGTTAAGATAAATCTCCGTTAGTGTATTTGAATGTCTCTCCCTTTGGCAGGATGAAGCACAGCTGGCGCCCACATGACGTAGATGTGAGAGCTCTTGCTTTCATCTGTCTGGTGGCAAATTTAGGCTGTACCTGAAAGCTTTTTTATTTTGGTAGAAATTATGGCTGGTTTTTTAAAATTAAAATAGAGGGTTCTTGGATGCTGCTGCCTTGGTGGAATGCCATCTTTTTCAGGGCGTGCCCTGGTTGCAGCAAGACAGCAAGATACTTTTTTTTTTCTTGTTTTTTCCTTTTTTTTTTTCCTTTTTTTTTTTTTTTTTTTTTTTAATGTGTGCCTTTCTTGTGGGGATGGTTATTTTGGTTTCCAGAACACCCAAGGCATTTGCTCTTGTAGTCGTTTTCCTGGTCTGTGTCGTGGTGACTCTGCTCTCTCCCAGCCTTGTGACTTGGTGTCTGTCTGTCTGTTATGGTATGGCCTGACCTGCATTTATGCCCTGCCACACCTTAGGTTCTGCTCAGAGCACCCAAGGTACTGTCTTTCTCAAGTTTGAATTAATAATTAATATAAAAAGCTTGAAAAAAAAATCTGAATTTTGTTACATAGTGTAATAACTGTTTGTAGATACTGTTCTGAGATGTAGGAATCTATTGGTGATATAAGAGGTTTTGTCTGTAAATAATCAGTTTAGAGTCAAAATGATTTTAATAAAGAGAATTCTTACACAATAATTCAATAAATTTTAATATACAACTTCTGTGTCATGCTGGTATTGCATGATGATGCAATTACACAGAATGTATTTGCCTCTTTTTCTTCCTAAGTGGAAACTGTACTCCGAAGCACCAGGACCCCGAAGCTGTGTGAGGAGCGAGGCTTCTCCCTCCTCCCTAGGTTGTGTTTCTTCAAGATAACCTTGTGCCAGTTCCACCTGCATTCCTCTGCAGTTTCCAGAGCTCAAATGCCATCCCTGCCCATGGGAGCAGGCAGCCTCCCTCCACAGCCACTCGTCTTGGCTGGCACTGGGGCCACATGGTCCCTGGCAGCTCTGGCTGTGGTCTCTCACTCTGGGTAAGGGTTGCTGAACCTTCACTGTTGTCCACCAGCGTGAGGCAGAAACAAGTGCTCCTAATTTACCAAAACAAATTAATTCTTAAATGAATTTCACAGCTCTTCCCAGACAGCAATCTGGCTCCCGGCCCATCTGTCCTCTTTTCTTCCTTCCCCTTCCTTTACTAGCGGAGTTTTGTACAGTGTGCCTCTCCCCCTCTTTTAGTCCCTCCTCTCTGTGCTCTGTGCGTTCTTGTTGCCCTTTAAGGGGTCACAAGGCGCTTGTCCCCTGCACGCTGCCCCGCAGGGCTCAGCACCCGGCCTGGCGCAGCCTCTGCCCCCTCCCTTGGTATTTTTAGTGCAGGGAAGGCAGGTGAGAGCAGAGGGGCACAGGCAGGGGGAGAACCACTCTGGGAGGCCCTGGCCTGGGTTTGGCAGCCTGGAGCTGCAGCAGAGCTCCTGCAGGCAGGGTTAACCCTTTGCTGCAGGGCTGGGGCCTGCTCTCTGCAGCCTCAGCCAGGAAACCCGAGCTGTGCGAGCCCAGGGCCCCAGCGAGGGGGAGGCCAGGCCGTGCCCAGCTCCGGTGTGAGGCTGCAGCTTGTGGCAGTGGGGGAAAAAAAATGATTCTTACTGTGTGTGGCCTCTTCCTCCCCTGTGTTGTGTGTGCTGGGACGCTCGTGTCCCCCCAGGGCTGTGGGGAGGATGCTGCTGTGCTTGCTGTCCAAGAGACAGGAACAGGGGCAGCATGGGCTCTGTGGCCAGCAGCACCATGCTGTGGCGGTGTTGGACTGTGTGCAGGCGCTGCTGGAGAGGCTGAGGTTCCTCAGGTCTGGCGGTGTGGCACACAGGCTGGTCTGGGAACAGGGATGGCTCTGCCAGGCAGAAGATGGTGCCGCAGAGCAAGTCCTGCTGACACACTGCTGGGAGCAGGGGGAAGAGTCAGGCAGCCCCTCGGTTTCTGGGTCTGGAGAAGGCAGAGCAGAGGGGGAGGACTTCTCTGTTTCCATCTCAGTAGAGCTGTGAATTTCCCGCTATAAATAGTTGCTGTGGAGACTGTGAATCTACTGCAGGCTGACAGGCCTGCTGCCAGGGAGGCAGGGAGAGGCCAGCAGTAAAGTGAATCCACCGCAGCTGTCTGAGGTCTCCTGCTCTCCCAAAGCCAAGCTTGTTCCCAGAAGTGGTGCTGTGATCTGATACCCTGCTCTACTCCTCACCACGTCCATCCAGTGATGCAGAAGTTCGGTGGGCTGAAGGCCATCCCTCCTGGGGCAGTGCAGACTAAAATCAGAGCAGGACCAGCTGGTATCTCACTTTGGGGAGCTCCAGAGCGAGCCAGATGACAAAGGGAATGGCGTGTCCTACCCGTGAGCTGCTGCATGGTGAGTCTGCGCTGGGCCCTGGGGCTCAGAGCCCCGCCGGGGCCTCTTGTCTGCTGTGTGCTGTGACTTGCAGGGGTGCTGTGCTCAGCCAGGGCTTGCAGGTCTGTGGTGTGCAGGAGCTGAAAGTGTGTATTGGTCTGGTGAGTTCTGCCACTCCAAAGGTCCAGGTGTCATAAGGCATGACTGGTGTTGGGCAGCTCTGTACACTGTTCCATGCAGGCTTGGTGGAGGAGTCCAGGCCAGATGTGAAGCATCACTCCTCATCCACGTCTCTCACAAACCAGGCAGGAGCAGTTCTTGGGCTGAAATTCCCTGAGCTAGTCTAGGCCTGCAGCAATTCAGTGGGTTCTGCACAAAATAGTTGGAATGACAAAAGCAAAATAAGTTGTATTTAATGTGAAAGTATCAAGAAATGAAGGATTAAAAGCACCAATTGTCCTCTATCACAAATCTTAGAAAAGTGCATTTCACTTTCCTGTACCAAGTTGCATAGCAACACTCTTCATCTTTTGCCAGTGCTTCCACCCAGAGAGGGTGGATGGAGGTAAGTCTTGCATGCCTAAGGATAGACTCGGCTTGCCTCTGCAGCAACAAGGCCACCAGGGCCTGAACTGCCCAAAAGCTCCATCCACGCTAGGGCTGAGTTTTACACTTTGGGTCTGCCTCTGGGTTCTATTTTCTCACTGAAGCCTCCTATCACCAGAACACTCCTCCAAGGGAAGAAGCTGTTGAACTCCCATCTCCACAAAACTGAGTTTTGCTTTGGCAGGTAGGTGAATGGTAAGCTGCATGATTAAAGCTTGCTTGCTCTCAGCTCAGGCCCTGCTGTCCTCATGATGTGAGTGAAGAAGGCCCAGGCAGGTGCTGGAGGTGCAGGAGTGTCTGAGGGTACTGATAAGCTTAGTCTGTGCACAAATAAGGAAAATTTTGATTTCAGTTCTGTTTCATAGGTGAGATGTCAGGGAACATTTACTGTAAAGAGTGGCTATGCAGACATGTAGCGCCCAGGGGGTTTATACCCAAAGAGACTGATTCTGAACAGCATAAATGCAAGGGTAAGAGGTGTAGAAATGTGAGGAGGGGGAGGCATTTTGAGCTCCTTTCAGACTTCTGTGCAGGCATGGGTGAACAGAGTAATGTCATCTCTGGCACTTTGGGTTTTCCTTGACAGGGTGAAAGTCTTGAGCCCAGTCTGACCCTTAACTGGAACTGTGTTGGGAGCCTGCTGGGTGCCCAAAAGCAGGCTGTGCCTCTGGCTGCTGTGCTGGGAGAGGAACATCAGCACATGGAAAGAAACTTCAATGTTTTGAGGAAGTCAAAACATTGAGTCAAAACAGGTTCTCTGTCTCAGCAGCTGGAAGATGTTACAGCTCCAGAACAACTCCCTGCCACCAGCACTGCCAGCCCTCTGTAACTATTTCTGAAAATCTTCTGGTTCAGATGAGTTCTGAGCTTTAGTGACCTGATTTGGAGGATTTAAAGTTCAATATTTCTACCTGTGCTAATGCTCTATGGGCACTACTATCACCTGTCTCGAGCTCTGACAGTGTGTGTTAGCCTGAAGCTTCAGCTGTACAGCAAGTGACATTTCCAAATTATAAAAGGCTTGGTTGGGAGTGCCCCAGCTACTGTGGCTTAAATTTGTATTTCATTAGCAATAAGAGCTGTGGGCTGCTGTTTCAGGTGACCAGTACTGAATCCAGTCCTACCTCAGTGCTGCAGCATTGGGGGACAGCAGTTGGATCAGTCTGTCTTTGCTGTCTTGGTGTTTGTGCTTTGGACTGTCATAGTAACAAACCCCATGAGCAGCCCCTTGCCAGGATGTCCTGTGGCCTTGCTGGGATGTCACACGATTGTCAGTGACAAACCCGTGCTCCAGCCCCAGGGCTGGACTGTGGGAGAGGAGCAGTACTGTAGTGTTTAGAATGCAAGTTCTGTTTCACACCCCTCTGGAGCAGGAGCCTTCTCCTGCCAGCCAAAGCCCAAATTCCCTCCTCAGCCAGGATGGGGGTAGGGAAGAGGTGCTTTCCCTGGCTGTGGGAGGGGATCCCACAGACCCTGCTAAGCCCCTGAAAATACACACTAGGAAACCTGAGACTCCCACCTGGCCCTGGCCCCGGACCAGCCTGCCAGCTTTCCCCTTCTGAACTCTTAAAATAATCCCTGTCTCCCTGAAGTGCCAAAAGTGTTTGTAACAGCCTGACTCCAAGAGCTGCAGAAGGGAATGGGAAAGAAAGGGGCGTGAGGGCACAGCAGAGGTATGGCCACCCTGCAGCTCTCCATCTCTCTTGAAAGGAATGAAGTGCTGAAGCTCACACTGCCCGTGTCCCACAGCTTGGTGTCCCACTGTCTCCGTCCCCTTGTGCCAGGATCTGCCATGCTCCAGGGCCATGGAGGAGCAGGTGCAGCAGGAGATGCCATCAGCCCAGCACACAGGTCAGTCCTTGGCCATGAGGCTCCAGAGATGAGATCATGCCAGGCTCTTCCCAGGCTAAAGGAGGCCACTGGGACCTGTCAGGCTGTCCTCAGCTGCTCGTTCAGTCTGAGAGCATTTAGAGATGTCATTAATATCTCTTGGTGATGGTTTTCCACAGGAGGCCACCACCCCATGCAGGAGGGAGAGGTGTTCAACACGCGATACCAGGTGCTGCACAAGCTGGGATGTGGCACCTTTGCCACTGTCTGGATGTGCCAGGACATGAGGTGAGGGGCTGAGTGCCATTCAGGGAGGTGTGAAGGGGTGGCTGATGTCCTGGCAGGGCTGGCCCCTCTTGCAGACACAGCAGAGCACAGTCTGGGAGCATGCCAGGCACCCCTGAGCACAGGGAAAACCTGACAGCAAGATCAGTGGGGTGCAACGAGCAGAGCTGGTCCCCAGAAATCAAAGAATGTAAATGAAGTGGGATCAGCCCTTGCTCTACATTTTCTTTTCTTGTTTAGACCCTGCAGTATTAGTGTTCTTTTTCTCTCCAGTCTCTTGCTGGTCCCTGGGGAAGTTGTGCTGCCAGATGCCAGCAGGAGGGATGCCCAAATGCGTGGTGTGCTGCAAACCGAGGCCAAGGGTGCCTGCAGAAGGGCAGCACCTTCCCTGGGGAGCCCAGGGCTGGCTGACTGGGAGAAAGGGAAGTGCTGCTGGTCAGGGCCAGCGCTGGCTGACAGCTGTGGTTCATTTCCCAGGAGGAAGAAGCAGGTAGCTGTGAAGGTTCTGAAAAGCAGGGAAGGCTTTGCTGACACTGCCCAGGATGAGGTTGCTTTCCTCCGATGTGTAAGTATATTCTGTGGGTCTGTGCTTTGCTCCAGCAGATGGCCACTGAGTTCAGGTTTGAGTATCAGCCTCATCATCCCCTCTGCCTGCTGGTCTCAGTCCAAGGAGCTAGGTGGGGAATAGGAAAAAAAACCAAAAGCTGGGGAATTCATAGAAATCACCCTGGCTCAGGACTGGACTCTGAAACAGGCATTTTCTCCTTCCTGCATCATACTGGGACATGTCCCACTTGCCCTGTCAGCCTATTTCTTTAAGCTGAGACTGAAATCCAGCAAAAAGGAAGAATCTGCAGAATGATAAGGTGGATAATCAACAGAAGAAGGTGGTAATGCTCTTAAGCAGGAGATAGGAGCATATCTACTGTACCTGTATCATTTACAGAGGAACATCACTCAGAGGACATTGCTGTATCACAACACTGATCCTGAAGTAAAAGGAACTATTTGCAATAGAAAAATACATGATGTACCAAAACACAATAAACATCTGAAGTCAGAAAGCTTCTTCTGGCCTCTGCTAATGGAGGTGATAATTAGGTGCCTGTATCTGGGCTGTAGCAAGTTGCCTTTGAAGTTGTCTGGAATTGCTAGTTCTAGAAAGCTTGTGGTTACAATTCTTCAAGTTTGTTCAAATACAAAGTTACATCAGCTTCAGGTGAGTAAAAGCTATTAAATTCTGCATTTTAAATTACTCTGTGGCCTTTCTCCAACAGGTTTGAGAGAGGTTTAGTTAACACCTGTAAATCTGTAGGCCCTATCTAAAGGGAGATGAGCCAGATGCAGTGATGCAAGAGGAAGTACCAAGTGGCACTAATTTAATGTAATCAGAGGGCTGCTTTTCCACACATCAGCACAACCCTGTGTAGAGAGTGAGCCTTACCCCTGATTTATTATTAATTCTGAGAGACATGCCTGCCCATTCAGCAGCACACAGCTGTTTACCAAGGCTTGTTCCCACCAGCACTAGGGCTTAGTGCCTGCAGAGCTGCCAGAAGAGATGATCTGGTCTCTGCTTTCAGGGCTGCTCACTTGTGTTGTGCCAGAACAAACCTTCTGGCACTGGTGCAGGTGGATCTGGCATCTGCAAAATGAACCAAACCAAAACCCTAGCAGTTGTGGCCATGAAGAGAGAAAAAAACAGCATGAATGGCTGTACCAGGATAAGTGCTCTGGGATAGCAAGCCCCTGGTGCTCCTTGTCACACAGGTGTGTGGTGCTGGGGGTGCTGTAGCACCTGTGCCTGGAGGTTCACTCAGCACAGTACCCTGGGCCAACAGCACATGTCCAGGTGGGTGTAAGGACAAGCTGAGCACAGCACAGGGTGCTGCTCCCACTGAATGCTCCCCTGGCCTGTTGCAGTTTCCAGCTGCAGATTTCTCAGGCCAAGGACGATGCTTGTGTGGGCAGGAATTCTCAGTGGATTTACCTTGAACCCTTGCAAGTCCCTGTGAGATTCAGTAACCACAGCCCCCTGTAACAAGAACAGCCCCCAGTCACCCATGTGCTGTGTGAAGAACCATCTCTGGTGTTTTTGGACCTACTACATGCTGGGTTTGAAGACCCCTGGCTCTAGTACAAAGGATGTGTTCGCCTCCTCCACTACCCTTCCATATCCCAGAGATCACTTGCCCACAGCCAACCTTTTCCAGCACAAATAAGCCTCCTTCACTGAGTCCTTCCAGATGTGGAAGCTGCTCTCTACCCTGATAAGACAAGTAGCATTTGAGTGGCCAAAGACAGCCATAATGCCTCTGCCTCTCTTCAACCCCTTGAGTTAAAATTGCCAAAGGGGTGGTGTGAGGCAAAGAAAATGGACAGTCACTGATGCTGAGAGCAGAGAGCTGTCTTCTTGGGGGAATCCCCTTCCAGCTCAAGCAGGAGCACTTTCTGAGTCTGCCTGGAGAGAATAAGCAGCAGGAAATGTGCTAGATACTATCAACAGGATTGGTGTGAGTTGTTTTGACGCTGTAGGTGTGATGGTCCCACCTGGTCAAGAGCAAGACAAAACATACAGAAACTCATTCCTGGTTTTCCTGATGTTGTTTTCATGGGATTTGTCACAAAGTGCCAGAAGAGAAAGTCTGTCAGACAGGATAAAACAGGCAGAAAGTGTCCTTGTGCACATATATGTCTCTGATTGCAGCTTTCTTGGAATCCTCCCCCTCAGGTAAGCTGCATGAAGAAGAAGGACCTGGCAGGAGAAAACATCGTCTGTTTGTTAGATGACTTCAGAATGATTGGACAGAATGGTTTCCATATCCTTCAGAGAAGAGTGCTTTTCTGGGTCAGCAAAGCCTGGGCTTGCCTTGGGAGAGCCACAGGATGGTGTAAACCTAAGTGCTGTGCTGCCATGAGGAGGATAAGCATGGATGAGCAGGGCTGCAGCTGGACCAGGGCACATGGGCATGGCTGGAGGGGAGAGGCTGAATCAGGAGGTATTTGGTTGCTTTGGTGAAAGGCAAAGGGTTGGTGGTAACACCTTTCCCTGTTAGTGAATCCCTAACTCTTTCCCACATTCTTGCTTGGTATTTGAGGTGCTGGGTCCTTCCATTCGATGTCTGATGGAAAACTACACAGCCCAGGGACTGCCCTTGCCTTTTGTGAAAAAGTCTTTACAGCAGGTGAGAACTTAGCTGCAATCAGACAAAGGTGCCAAGGGGCTGTTGGCTGTGGGGCATGCCACAGTCTTCCTCCCAAGGGGAAGGACTTGGGTGTTACTGCCTAAGCCTGCAGCCTCCTCAGGTTTGGGAAGGAGTCAGGGCCACGAAGTGCCAAAAGCCTGCACACCAGGGAGTCAGGGCTGGCAGTTCTGTTCCCATCTTCCAGTAATCATTGGGTTCTCTGCTGCTTGTAGATGTAGCAGGGGACAAACAGCCTGCCATAGTTCTACTTCTTGTGGGCAAACCATCTCTGCCCTCCTGCTGCCCAGAGAAGTCCCCTCTGGCAGTAATTCCAGACTGCTGGCATTTGCCTTGGCATCCAGCTCTGGGTAGCACTGTCAGCTCCAGCAGCTTTCTGCACGGTACCACTGAAGGCTGATCAAGGTCTCCCTCCCATCTTCACGTGAATTTCTAAATTGCTGATTTGGTCAGCTGGTTCTCTCCATGTTGAGGTTTCCCTGTGCAGAGCCAACTTTTCCTTCATCCACTGTAAGGATGTGTTGTGCCTATTTAAAGGATGAAAAGTGAGTTTCTTCAGGGCTGGCTCTGCTTAAGGAATGAGAAACCTGAGTGAGGCCTCAGAATAGTTAAAATTACTTTTTGCCTCTCGTGCTGAGATTCATCAGAAGTCTGCACACTTGCCAAGGTGAAGATTTGCAACCCTGATTCCTGTGCCCTTCTAGGGATACTAAGAAAGAAAATTGCTTCCTCCTTCATCCTGTTTTCTGTAGTAGTCTCTCCTTTCTCTAAAGAAGCTCCACTAACACCTGAGTAGGTTACACAAAAATGTAGTGGCATTACCTCTGTGCTCTATTTGATACTCAGGCTTTTGCTGATACATTATCTGCTTTAATTGTAGAATCTCAGTTCTGTTTCCCCCCTTCAGAACAGCACTGGGGCAGTATTTACTTCTGATTCATTCCAGTTTAGTTATTTAAATCTTTCCCCACATTTCACAGTTACCATTTAAGGTTGATATTTCCCTGGGGCTGGTGTTCATCCCAGAATAGAATTTGATAATACAAAGAATATTTACCAGTCCTTTATGACTGACCAGAGTGTTAAAAAACAAACCTAAATCTCCCCATAGCCTTTGCTCTGTTATTGATTTCTGATAGTGAGTGTTCGTCTCTGGAAGGTGTTGTTTATTTCTCCCCTGTGACAGGCCAGGCTCTCCCTGCTGCATCACAAGCTTTTCTTTCCCTACATGGCTCTCCTGCAGGGCCCTGAAATCCTCTGTCTGCACTCACTCATGGTCTCTCCCCCTCCTGTCTGTGTTATCCTGTGTCTTCTTCTTTCCTTGTATGATGGGACATCCTCCCATGCCTGTCACTGACACCAGTCCCTTTACATGTCAGTGTCATTCAAATGGAAGTTGGGGGCTGGTTATAATCAGTGGCAAGGCACAGAGGTCCCAGGACACAACAGCCATCCAAACAAGAATGGTTTTTCAGGAGAAAATTCAGCTTTGTAATCATAATAGCCTCCTCATAGCCCCATCCTCCTCCCACTTCCCTGGGCTCGCCCATCCGTGCTGGTGTCTGTGGATTGTCACACTGTGACAATTGACACTTTTGCTGTGTGTCACCCCAAACAGCCCTTTCCTCACTGGGCTGTCCAGGCCTCCCCTTGCTCCTGGGGCTCTGTTGTCCTGTGGGGTGATGAACCACTTGTGCCTGCTCCCATAGGCCACCCCACCAGGAAACTATTTATTGCCAGCAGTTACCATCGGTGCCTGACTGTCCCTGACTTGCACTCCCGCTGTGCCTGCCTGCTGTGGCAGCTGCTGGGGCAGGAGAGGCGGTGGGGACCCTGTCAGGGCTGCTGTGACAGTGTGACAGTGCTGCCTCATTGCCAGGTGCTGGCAGGGCTGCATTTCCTGCACAAGTGCTGCCGCATCATCCACGCAGACATCAAACCGGAGAACATCCTGCTCTGTGGGCGCAGCAGAGGCCTCCAAAGGCTTCTCACGGCTACACTCGACTGCCACCAGGGAACAGAAGGGAGGCTAAAGGGAGCAGGTAAGCACTCTAGGAGGGATTTTTTAACAAAAAAATGGTCTTAGGTGTTTAATGGCAGGAGAGAAATAAGACGCAGCAGGTACAGATGCCTTAGGAAAGGTTCACATCTCCTACAACAGCGAGTACAAAACATGACAGCCAGTATAAAACATCATAGCCAGCTTATGCTGCTGAAAGGCCTCTCCTTTCTCTGCTTAACACAAACACCAGGCTGGGCTCAAGGCACCTACAGAAGTGTGGTCCTGCAGGTGGGGTTGTGTGAAGGACAGCTACAGGTCACAGGTATCTGTTAACAGCCCCACCACCACCTCAGAGCTCGCTCTCAAGGCTTGAGGTACAGGACAGTTCCATGTGACTGATGTTTTCAGCTGCTGAAAGGTTTACATACAAAAAGGCTCGATCAGAAAGCTGTATGACACTCCTGCTCTTTATTTCCCTCATTTCTGAGGTTTGTGGGAGACTTGTATGTGCTGCTAATCTTCAAGGCCTTCTGAGACATAATTTATGTGCACAGAATGGTGTGAATATTGAATAAGATGTAGGGCTGGAGAGTTTCTCAAGAGATTATCTCATCTCCCAGCAATGAGGCCTTTCATATTATCCTTGCACTGCGTTCTCCTGTGAGCATTTCTCCCATGACAGTGTTGTTTTGTCTCTCAAACTCTGGGGCAATCAGGGAATGCTAAATTAGTGACCGAGTCTTTTGCTTGGAGCAGAAAAGCACAGTATTAAGCATAGGCTGACAGCTTACTGTAAGGCACTAAACCAGGAATTACCTTTTTCTGGGATCATATGGAAAGGTCCACATAAGGTCCACATTGCTGGCCAAGCAGGCTGTATCCAAGGTCTGTGACAGCCAGGGTTGCTGAAGGCTGAGGAGAAATTACAGATGTTTTTGTTCTGACTGGTGCTCTCCTCTGGGCCCACAGTAATTTAACCTTGGTGCTAGAGGAACCCTGCAGCACGACAGGAGCATATGGTCACACTGTTCCACTCCAAGCTACTGTGCTCCCATTCTCTTATGTTTTTACTGGATACCAGGCCTTTTTTTGTGTTCCTTAAAAAAAGAGGGGCGGCATTTGATTTATGATAAAAAGTATTTAGGAGCTTTTTAGCTCCTAAATTAGGCCAAGAAACTTTAAGGGAAGGCAGACATACCTCTCCTGTGGTAAGTGGTGTGTACCTGCTGGTTCAGAAAGACCTGATTTCTCTTTGTCCTTTCCATCTAGGAGGTGATCTTGGCAATCAGTTGGAAGAATCTGATCTAATGAGCATAGAGGTGAAAATTGCAGATCTAGGAAGCGCATGCTGGACAGTGAGTCTGCTCCAAGTCTCAATCCCATGACAATGTGGGATGCTGTGTGCTTCTTTCCATCCCACACTGTGTCTGTCTGTCCCTTTACAGCTGAACAGCTATTTCAGAGATGCCAATATTGGGGGGTTTTGTTATGTTTGCCACTCTCAGCTCCAAGCTGTGCACGTTCTTCCTGAGCCACTGTCAGTTTTGGACATTTCTCCGGCTTGCAGTTAGTCCCTACAATTAGAAATTTAAAACTATGTTCAGTGTGAAATGTTGGTAGATTCCCACTGGTGCCAGTGGGGCAGGAATGTGCTGGCTGTGCCCTGCACAGAGCTGAGAACACACATTCATTTGTGTCCCCAATGTCCTGTCACTGCACAAGAAGCTTGTGACCACCAGTGCTGCTGTGGCTGGTTTAAGGAGTTTGTTTCTGTTTTAGTACAAGCCTTTTTCCAAGGAGATACAGACGCAGCCGTACCGGGCCCTGGAAGTGCTCCTTGGATTAGACTACGGCACTCCTGCGGATATCTGGAGTACAGCCTGCCTGGTAGGGCTGGGGACAGCACTGGGGAGGTGACAGACCTTACCTGCAGGGCAGCGTGTCCTTGGCATCCATGTAAAGAAAGCTTCCTTTCTGAGAAGGCAAAAGGGGCTGTTGGCACTCATTCACTTTAGGGCAAAAGTCTGCTGCTGGTACAACCCTCTCCTAATTTAGTTTAAGCTCTAAAGCAATTCACTCCATGTAGATTAGCTCAGAGGCTTGCCTGCATCAGGCACATGCTGCTTTTCATCCTGATGGAGCTAAAGGTGTTGTTTCACTGTGGTACAGATCAAGCCAGTGTGAGTATTTCCACATTTTAGGACCAGTTTTGTGTGATAAAGAGGGCAATATCAGTTAGTGGCCATGGAAAACTCCAAGATAATCAGTGAATTAACAGTGCTACTCCATTTCTAGGCATTTGAAATGGCAACTGGAGAGTGTCTATTTGATCCTCAACCTGGGAAATACTTCTCCAGAGATGATGGTAGGACTCCATGAGTTTTATTCATTTCACTGACAGAAGTGTCACAGTCTGTATCTAAATTTGTCTTCCCTCCCTTCATCTAGATCATGTTGCTCGTATTATTGAACTCTTGGGAAGAATTCCTCCTCCAATTGTTTTCTCATGGAACAAGTCAACAAAATTTTTCAGCAGGCCAGGTAAGAACTGGCATAAGGAAGTTTATTTTAAAAATCACTGCAGATCTGACACACTCCTACTCAGCTCATGTTGAACTCCCCCAAAAGTTACTCACACAATGCAGGCTACAAGCAGGGATGGAACACAAATGGAAATTTCATAAAGAGCAGTAACACTCCCTGCCCTGCCTGATTTGCAATCCACGAGCATTCCAGGGATGAATGCACAATCCTGAAAAATGGTCATAGCAAACACCGAACAGGGAAAGCATTTCCATTCTTTCTCCTTTGGATTTGGAGAAAATGGAAATGCAGACAGGAAATAGTTCCATGCCAGGAAGGCTGAAGAGTGTGTAACAGGCTGCACTTCACCCATTCACTGACAGAGAACAATGACGACCAGGAATGGGACACTCATATCCTTCCAATGTGGCTGCTATATTTAGGCTTCTAACCCAACTGCAACATCTCTTCTGTTTTATTCTTTCCCTTTGACTCATGATTCTTGAAACCCTTTTTTGACCACAAGGCATCACATGACTCCACCCTTCTGCAATTTGGCCTACCATCCTTCTCTGCTTTCATGCTTACCAGCCTACCCACAGTTCATTCAGAGCTTAGTACTGGTCCCATGCTGGAATTTAACCAGCACCTCCCTGCACATCCACATCCTTTGCTCACACTTATGCCTTCTATGGTTCTTGAAAGAAATGAATCAAAACTAGTTCTACATTCACTCTCCCTATGAACCAGCCTGGCCTGACCACACATGCCTGACTTGAATCACTGTATTTACACCGTGCACACCCCAGGACGAGGGCTGCTTCTTGCTCAGTCATACACTCTGCCGGGCCCCACAGAGCTGGCTGGCATGTAACAAATTCAACTAGAGTCCTGCGAGCTCTGACACTGAAATAGCATCATGCATCCGGGTGCCTGTGGGCAGGCACAGGGAACGAGCAGCAATGGCTCTGGCATGGTTATTCTGGGAACACTTTGTGCACTCTTGGCACATTCTCACCTAAGAAAAGTGCTCAGGAACAGAGAGACTCCAAACACCAGCTTGAAAAGGTGGTTCCCGAGAAACACCCGAGAGCCAAACCTGCAAGGGGCAGCTCAGGTGCAGCTTACAGAGATAATTCCAAGAAGAAGGCAAAGATCTCTCGGGATGCTTTGGGTTAATTGTGAGGCGAGGCGCGGCAGCCTGAGCCGCGCAGGTGTGCCTGAGGCGCCGTGCCCACGCTGTTTCTGCCAGGCGCGCTCCTGCGGCTCTCCCGGCTCTCTCCCCGCAGCCTCCCCGGCATCCTGGCGGACCGGCACGGCTGGACACCGCAGCAGGCGGCCGCCTTCGCCGCCTTCCTGCTGCCCGCGCTGCACTACGCGCCCGAGCGCCGCGCCAGCGCCGCGCAGAGCCTGCGGCACGCCTGGATCGCCGCACCGTGACCCGAGCCGGCCGTCCCCGCCTCGCGGCACCGCGGGACCCGCCGCAGCGACCGCACCGCCATTCCACAGGCCTAAAGCAGCTCTCCCGGCGGGGGCGGCGGCCCGCCCGCAGCCCCCGGTGCGCCGCCTCTGCCGAGCGACCGGAGCGGGGCGGCGGCTGCGCAGCCCCGGCGTGACCGCGCGGCTCCCTCCGCTCCCGGGCTCCACTCCCTTCCTCCCGCGGCCCTGCAGCGCTGCGGACCGCACGCATCGCTCACTGCGAGCGGCCCCAGCCGCGCTACGCGGGCACCGGAACCGGGCGGAGCCCCTCGGCCGAGCTCGGGCACCGAGCGACGCGGGGCCCCTCCTGCCCGGCTCGGCCGCGCCTCCTACCGCGGAGGGGCCGTCCCTCCGCCTCCCTGCCCCGCGGCCTTTGTTCGGGGCTCCAGGGACGGCGACCGGCCAGCTGCGCAGGCGCCCTGCGCCCCCCTCCGCCCAGAGCTCCCGGCCGCCCCCCGCACCGCCCCTTCGTTCTGCCACGTGTCCCGACGCGGGAGTCGCCCCGCGCCGAGCGATCGCGCCCCGCCGGCCCCGCCCCTCGGCACGTAGCGCGGCTCGCCCGGCGGGCGCTGCCGCAGCCCGCCCGGTACAGATGCCCCCCTGCTCTCCGCGGCGAGTGGCAGCGCCGCGCGCCAATGGGGCGCCGGGACCGTGGGGCGCGCGGCGGGGCGGGCGCGTGGAGCCCAATGAAGCGGCAGCACAGGCGGGGCCGCGAGGCGAGGTCGCCAATGGCGAAGGTGGAAGGGCGGGGCTGCGGCGGCGGCGGGCGCCTCGGCGGGGCGGGACGCGGCGGCGTGACAGCCAACAGGGAGTGGGGTGGGCGTGCCCGGGGCGCCCCTGGCGCCGGCGCCGGGGATCCCCGTGCACCCAGTGCCGTTTCCGCCCGGCCCGGGGAGAAGCCGCCGCTGCCGCCGGGGGAGGGGCCGCCGCTGCCGCGGCTGAGCGCTCGCTCTCGCCGGCTGCCCGGGACACGCCGTGGCGCCGAGCCGGGCCTGGTGCCGCGCAGGGGCCCGGGGAACGGGCCGGCCAGGTAGGCGCGGGCAGGCGGGAACCGGCCGTACCCGGTGGCGGGAGGGAACGCTGGGGCGGGCGGCTGGGCGGGCGGCCGCGGGAGCTCCTGCGCGGCCCGCGGTCTGACGCTCTGCTCTGCGCTGCCTTGGCAGCCCGGTCAGCAGCGCCCCGCCGTGCCCCCGGAGGCCCGGCCCGAGCTGACCCGGTCCGGCGCGGTGTGCGGGCATCATGGCGGGCCCGGCGGTGCGCGGGCTCGGGACGCTGGTGGCCGGTGCAGTGCCAGGGCCGGAGTTGGGGCTGGAGCGGCCGCGGGGCTTTGTCGGTGAAGGCGAGCGCCGGTGAAGCCCCGCTGCAGCCCGGCCTTCTCCGCGCCCCCGTGTCCTCGCATTGTCCCGAGGGGCCTCGGGGGTCGTTGTCCGGCTCGGGGCAGCCTCCGGGCTGTGGCTGCCCGCCCCGAACCGCCGGCCCCTCCGGGCCTCGGTGGAGGCGGTGTTTGACCTGCATTTTCTGCTTTCTCATGGTGCCCGCGCGGCGCCTTCCTCCGTAACCCCCGCTCCCGGCGCCGGCGGCTGCAGCGAGGATCCTCCCGCATTTCCTCGCCCGTCACCGCGGCCACCGCCGGCGCAGGGGGGGTTCCCCGCCGCGCTACCCGCGCTCCGACCCCCGACGGCACCGGCAAGGTCACTGTCGACCGGCGGCTCGTCCTTGGGTGCCGGTGACCGGAGTTCACCGCCGGGCCGGGCGGGGAAGCGGCGCCGGGCAGTGTCTCGCCGTCCCGGGGGAGGGAGAGAGGCGAGGCCGCGTGTGGCCCTGTGGAAGCGGGGGAGATGGGTGTAGCAGCGAGGAGGGGTTCGCAGCCCCTTCCCGGCCGTGTCCTCGTGCTCCTCTGACACCAGCTGAGATCCTGGGTGCGCTGCTGGGGGGGAAGAGCGTGTTCTGCGGGGCTGGAGAGGTCACGGGGTGCTGCAGGGCTCCTGTGGCTGCTGCGGGCTCGGGCCATGATGTAATGAGAGCGTTGGGGGTACGGCGGGGGCGAACCTCTCTCCTTGGGTGAGGGAAGAACTTGATGTTGGTGTCTGATGGTGTGCTGGTACATTATGGATTTCAGGCAGTTGCCCCCACCCTGACTGGGTGTTGCTGCCAGAATCTAAATCCAAAAAAGGAATTTCTTTTTTTTTTTTTTTCAATAATCAGAGATTCCTCTTTTCACTTGTATAGGAAATACTAGGATTTATTTTTTTCTTCTTCTTGTGGTTGACCCAGGAAGTCATCTTGTTGCCGGCATTCAGGGTTTTTTTTTCTTTTGCTGTAGAGGTGCAGGGAGGAGGGTGTTGCTGTGCTCTGGATCCTGTGGGTAAGCGTTGAAGGCAGTGACAGCAGCTGCTGTTGGCTCTGGAGCTCTGGTTGCTATGAGAAAAGCTTCACTAGACTTGGCTGCTATCTCCAGGGAAGGACAGCAGAGCAGCCTCCATTAGTGTGGTGGTAGAGGGATGGCTCACTCATGTTCAGCAAAGGACTTTACTTTTTGGGCTGATTCCACAGGCCTAAAGCAGGAGCAGGGATATGTTTTCGTCCTGTGGGACAAAAACGTCCAAGGTGGGTTTCATCACCGTTCTTGAGTTAATGGAATTGCATTAAAGTGTGGGTTGGAAGCCCCAGGTTACCTTTTCCACATATTTTGGTCTGTGTGAAAAGTAGGGCAGCAAGAATTGATATGATCTTCCTGTGAAGTGAAGGCTGCAGTTGTGTCTTTTTTGAACTCCAGTCTCCTTCCCAGCCAGTAACAGAGCCAGATGCTTTTCTTATTGTTTGTATGTCTCCTTCCTCCCCTCCCAGCGCCTGGGCCCCACTTGCCTTATTGACTGGAATTTCTGCTGTGTGCAGTGGGTGTGTGCAGCAGACACCAGCCTGCTAGTGCTGAGGAGGGATTTTCCATTCACAGACCAGGGAACTGTCAAAATAAAGTCCCGACTCAACTTTAGGACTGGAAACAGAAAGTGGGGAGAGGAGTTTTCCTCTGCTGCAGAGTGCAATTTATTCTCTGAGCTTCTTACATGCTTTTATGTCAAAATGTATAGGAAATGTTGCTTTGCTGTGGAATAGGGAGGTAAAACTCCTGTGGATAATGGGAAAGATTCCTCCCTTTTGGCTGACTCAAATGCTTGAAGGAACAGTTTGCAGGAGGCCATTTTTGACGTGACTCTGTATTGTGGAATCTGCCAGCTCCCATCCACACTCTGTCTGCCTGACTGCAATAGCTTCCTTTTTTTTTTTTTTTTTTTTTTTTAAAGGAAGAATGAGTGCCTTTCTTATCTGCTTAACTAACCATTTGGCACTGGCCCCTGTCTGTATGATATTGTGCTGTCGAGTTAGAGCTATCAGCATATTCCAGTGCGTTTGTTAGAGATGAAACTGTTAGTTGAGGTATGCAGCATGGGAATACATTAGCATTAGAAAACACTGCCATCTTTGTAAACTAACACCTATCATGGGGAGCCCCTTGCCCTGGCCTGAGTTACCCAACTCAGCATTACTATGAGCTCGAAGCAAAAAATTCCAGGACCAGAATAATGTGAGAGAGATTAAAATATGCCCTTAAATCCGCTTGACTGGCAGCAATCATGTGCTGGATGCCAAACTCTGAGTAGCTTTTATATTTGAGAATCTGTAGCACACAAATTGCCTCACAAGGTGGGGTGAGCAACTTTTAACCCCCCTAAAACACATCAGTCTCTGGGGCTGGAGGTGTCATCTGCTGCCTAACCTGGAGTGACATGACACCAGTACTGAACTGTGAATTTTGTGAGTATGAAACTGCTCCCTGTTTTAATGAAATACAGAAAGTGATCTTCATGGCCCTTTAGTATTTGTTTACAGTGTCTCTGTAGGTTGTTTACAGTCTCTCTGTAGGTTATAATGGGGAATTGGTCCATTGCCTCACATTCTGTTGGATAACTGGCACCGCTTTGACAAGGCCCTGGCTCTTCATTTTACTGTCAAATCCCAAGTGACCTGAAAGTAATATTCCTTAGCTAATGTTGTCTGGTATTTCCCTACTGCAAGGTGGGGTGATGAAATCCCATGTACATTTGAATCACTTTTAAAAAGAGCCTCAGTTACCGCAAGATTTTATTTTAAAACTTAACAGGTCAAAGTTGAAAAAACACAGGACAGGGATGGCATTGAACTGGAATCTCAGAACATGCAGAAGTTATGCTCTTTTTTTCTGGAGGGAAAAAACCCAACCAACCAATCATGGATTTAAATTTTCCAAATGTTCCTTGAAGTAAAAAAACCCATTTTTAATTCAAAGTTCCAGGTGCAAAGTGTGCAAGGGAGAACTAAATGTGTGATGTCCCAGACATGTAATTTATTAATCTGTCCAGTCTGTACTTTCTCCCATTTTGGATGATCAGACTTTTACAAACTTGTGTTGAATGATGTGATGAGATAAAAATGTTTCTATCTATTCTGGCAATATTAAAACAAACATAACGACTGTTCAGAGATTTGAAAATTCAAAAATCATTGTTCTCATGACATTATTACTGTATTACAAAAGCACATTTGTGTTTTTACTCTGGTGCTGCTTGTGTGTGTAACTGAAATTTTGCCAATGAAATGCTGTGTTGTGTGCAGTGTATGAGAAAGATTGCAATAGGCAAACTGTTCTTTATGTGTACAAGATGTAGTAGCAGTGCTTGAGTTGAAATGTTAAACGTGCTTAAGTGTATAGCATGTGAGCTGTTAAGTCTCAGTTGCCCCTATGAAACTTCAGCTGCTATTTGATTTTAAAATAAAAATTGTGTTGTGTTTTACATGTCTGTTTAGTTTTTTTTTTCCCCTCTTCCAAATTAAAAGAAAAATAGCTATGGGTATTACAGCTGTTACATAGCTATGGGTGTTCTCCAGCCAGTCTTTGGCTCCCATGACCGACTTGTGGCAAGAGTTAGTGCACAGTGAGTTGGCACTTGCATTGTTAGGGGCGGGTTTGTATAAATCTGGCTTAACCTAAACCTTTTGCTTATTTTGATCATGGAAAAAGCCCCAGACCATAATGCAGCAAGAGTTCAGCATTTTGAAACTGTGGGAGCTGAGGTTTTATTCCACTTTTTCCTTTTAATTCCTTATTGAAGTTGCTTGGGGGATCTTGGTTAGGGTTGATTTTTTTTCCACAGGATTTGCTATTTTGATGGCAATTTTCCAGTATTCCTGTAGCAAATCAGCCGAGCTGCAGCCCCTGTCCCTGCTGAGCAGGGAGAATGTGCAGTGCTCCAGGCCTCCCTGCTGAGCTCACACAGGGGTGGGACTTGCTAAGCTGCTGAAATCGCAGCTAATGCCCACTGAGCATGCTGAGAAACAGTTTTTCAACTGCTCCTAGTTTAAATTTTTTTTCTATAATTAGCAAAGATGCTCTTTGTCTTGAAGGATGATCTATGGGACAAATCAGGAGGTTCTGGTTCATCGTCCCCCTTCCCCCCTCCCGAGCCAGTGGTGAAGTAGTATTTTCCTGTAACAAAAATAGCTGAAGAGATTTTTCCCTCACTTCAACCGATGAATCTGAACTTGAAAAGCTGTAGCCCAAAAAAAGAAACCTTCAGCAAATAATAGTCTTAATGCTAGTTTCTGCTATAGGAGCATCAAAATGGTTGTTTAAATTGTAAATCTGCTCATTCTGATCCTTAAATCTAATTTAAATGCTGAAACAAGTAGAACAAACAAACTATATTTTAAATAATATATTTGAGAAATAAAGTATTTCTTGGTGAGTTTTATTTTCCTCCTGCCAGACATGCACAAACCCCAATTATTTTAATGAGCAATATGGGAAATATTCAGCAAAGTGTACTGATGTACTCAGACTTAAAGGTGGAAAAATGTGGGAGGATTTGTCAGCGGTTTGAGTGGCAAGCTTTTAGTGAGCGGGAGAAGTAATTTCTTTTGTGGTCAGGAATCTCATAGTCTCACATTCACCAAACACAAAGAAAAAAGGGGGGACTGAGAGAGAGGAACGTAGAAGAGTGGCATTGAGAAATGGTCAGGAATTTGACTTTTAGAGTGAAGTTCAGAAATGATCTGTTGTTTATGCTAAAGTGTAATCCTTATAAACTTGATAACGTAGACAGGTCTTGCATTCCTCCCTGAGGGTCACAGAAGGGCTAAGTTTAGCAAAGGGGAGGTATCCCAAACACTCAGATCTATCTAGTTTTCAAGGCAGCAAACTTCTCTGTTTTCATCCTGTTCTAAACAAGCCTAGGGTTTGGGTGGTTTTTTTTTTTTTGTTGTTTTTTTGTTTTTTTGTTTTGTTTTGTTTTTGTTTTTCACTTACAAGCAGCTTTTTGAGGCAGAATGTGAGTTAGCTTTAAAACCAAAATGCCCTAAAATATTTCAAAGTAATTTCATGGTAGAAAGGTCAGGGTGCTTTTGATGTGTTCATATTTAGAACATGATTACAATTGCAATCATACACATTGACAAGAAGATATTGTCTGGATTTGGTAGCTGCTCATTTAGTGACTCAGGCCTATTCCTGTTGTCCTCACAGAACTCATACCAGGGTTTTCTTCTGCAGCCTTGCTGATTTGCAGGACAAAATGTTTTCAGTGACCCTGCCAGCAACCTGGAAAACAGTTTGAAGTTCTTTCTGATACTTTCTTTCTTTCTTGACTTTAAAGCAAGCAGTTTGAAATGCAACTTGTTGATAGGGAAGGTGTGTGAGACCCTGCCACTGAACTTTTTAACAGAACATGCCTGCTGCTACTGATTCAGTAAAGGGAAAAAAAAAGAAAAAAAGAGGACGCAGCTTGGAGTTTTAGTTCATTGGCATCAGATTGTGGCCTCTTGGTTTTGCATGACTTTGAATCATGAAAATAAATGGCAGAGAATTTTTGAGGATTTTGTTGATGGTCGTATGTGGATAAGGAAGCCCACATAAGACAGTACTGCTCACACTGTAGGACAGAAAGTCACTTCTTGCTTCTGGGAGCAGAATATGGGAGCTGCAGAGGTTGTAGCTGGTGGAAGGATGAGACCAGGGAGACTGAAACTTCTCATCACAGCTCCAGATAGTTCAGAGAATGGGAACAGAGGCATATTTTTCAGTGTGGTCATGTTTCCCAGAGCTGCCTCTGCCCAAATTACATCTTTCTGGGAATGTTTTAAGTCAGATTTTAGGACTGGAACCCCTGCAGGATGCTGGTGTGGAAACTATTGCCAAGGAGCAGTTCTCAACTGTTTTTATGGGAGAGAGTGAGGAGGTGAGAACGTATCCTTGCTTGTAGGCAGGAAGGAGTACACTGGGAAAAGTTTGAGAACCAGTGATTTGGGAAACTGAAGTGCCTTGGGGGTTCAACATGGAGCCCTTAAAATAGCATGCCTCAACCTGAGCTGCACTATCAATTTATAGATACTTGGAAGAGTGCACAAGCCTTTTGCATTTGTGTGGCCTTCAACTAAAGACACTAAAACATTATTTGCTGTGTTTCAGTGGCATTGAATTGGAATAGTTTATAATGTTACAAGAATGCTTTCAGTAATGTGGCTGTAGATTAACTTTCACTACAGCTAAGATCTGGAAGCTTCCTGTATAAATGCATCTGAAGTGAACCTTTGAAGAAAAGATGACTGCTTGATTGAGTTAAGTAGGCTCTGTTTGACTGTAGAGGAGATTGGCTTGCTGGTTCAAAGTTCTCTTGCAGTTTTATGAACTTAAGGATGTTGGGGTTCAAGATGGCCTGGAAGTTAAGAGGGAACTTGCAGGGTGAAAGTCAAGTTCTGAGCTTGTCACAAACTCGCTTTGTTGTGCAGTTCTTCTAATTTCCACCTCAGGCTCTGCTTGTATATGGAAATTCGTGTGTTAAACTGGAATGGGTGTTCGTGACGCACAGTATATTCATTGTACAGCTTTGTGCGGGTTTTTGGTGCACAAGTGTTCCACGGCAGTTCAGGCTGACAGCCCTGTTCTTCCCAGTGTCACTTCTGCCTCTCTTCTGGCCCATGCCTGCCCCAGTAGTGAACTATTCAGGAAAACTACCATTGAGAAAACAAGTGCATTTCATTTTTGAAAGGAAGAGTTTTCTGCTGGCTTCTGCCTGAACTGCTTGACTGTGGGGTCAGGTTAGCACCAGTGCAGGGAGGGATGGGGAGGCTGCACTGAAGCCATGCCAGCTGAAGTCAGCTTGAAACTATTGCAGAACTGCACCCTGCGAGCGAGGTTACTCAGGGTGAAGTTACATGAGACAGCTGAGCATATCCAACTGCTCTGCTGCTGAATGGGGGAAGTTTTGTTCCCCCTTGCTCTCTCACCCAACGGGGAGTTCTGCCTTTTTTGTCTGCCAGCTCTGGTTCCTGCTGGATTCCTTTTCTGAACTCCTCCAGCTTGCTAACCCAGCAGAACGCTGTGTTGGGGTTATTTTATGTTTTGGGTTTTGCTGGATTATTTTTTTGCCAAGATAGTGAACTGAACTGGCTCACTGAGAGACTTGTCAGGCATCCAGAGCCCTCACAAAATAAATAGGGGAGAGCATATGGGTGGAAGTGCAGAGGATGTGGTGGGGACCGGAGAAGGGGAACAGGGTCTCCGCCTCTCGGTGCCGCGCCCAGCACGGCCAGCTCAGGCTGTCCCCTGTAACTTCACACTCCTCTGAAAGGAGAGTGAGCCACCACCCACTGCATGCTGACAAACCTGTGCCAACCCGTGAGTTTGTGCCCTTGATCCCTGTGTGTGGAGTGCTTTATTTAGGCAAACCCTTAGTTCCCTGCTTGAAAGTAGTCTTGCCTTCATCTGTTCTTGTTTGTTTGAGAAGCTGGTCAGATGTGAGTTTTAATGTAGGCTTGATCTGTGATGGTGGAGACGTGTTACAGCCTGAGCTTGGTGCTTAACTGTTTCAAACCAGCAAAATATTGTAGATATACTTTTGTAGAAAGTCAATACAGCTGAAAGCTGGAGTGATGGCTCATTTTGGAATATGGCAAAAAGTTAATTAGTATAAAAATATTACTACTCTGTGTAAGTAAATGCACCATACAGTGTTTCTTTTTTTTTAACCTAGGAATTAGAAAGTCTTTGTTTTGTATTTACTTACCCCTTGATACAGGTAATGAAATACCAAGGTGTGCAGAAAATTATAAATTACTGAAGATACACTGTCAAATGTATAAAAAAAGATCATGGTGTGAATTCCATATAACTTCACTGAAAATATATAAGGTATAACTGGAACAACACAAAAAAGTAATTCAGCCAAGGCCAGTTGCAGCAGAAATTTCAATCCTATTTCTTTAATATGGAAAACCTGGCTGCTTGGCTGTAGCAAATTTGAATCAAAGCAACTGTCTGTGCACTGCAGATCCTGTTGTGTGCTGCTCACTATGAGCTGAGGCTTTGTCTCGTACCTAGTGAGACTACTTGGTCTAACAGAACTCGAGGCAGCATTTTGGCTGTTTGTGTTTGAATAAAGGTATTTAAATGTTAGCATGTCATGACATCTCCAAACGCGTACTGCTGTGCAAAAAAAATTCATGATGGGTGTGAGCAGTATGTCTCATAAGCAAGAAATCTCATGTGTTGCAAGGGTAATCTTTTATTTAATGAAAACAGTTGCAAATAGCCCCAAATCAATCACTTTGCCATAAGGGCACCAAGCAGAGTGTATGTGCTGTCTTATGTTCACAGCCAACAGCAGTTGTGACTTTTTGCAGCGTGGAGCTGAATGCCCAGGTGAGCACTGGGGTGATGTGTACGGAGAGCTCTGGGACTCCATCTGAGTG